AATGTGTGAAGTGGTCAACGATTCCACCTAAACATTTCTCTAAAGATAACCAGCATATACAGGGTTCGTACGCATTTCTGCACATGGAAATTAAGTACTTTTTAGGACTTTTAAGGACCATTAGTATAAAAAATTAAGGACCTATGAGCAAATCGGAACTGAATAAATTCAATTAAAAATATTATTCTATGCCTAAATTTCACTTTTGTAACACCATCCTAAAAATAAAATAGTCTCACTAGATGCAAAGAATAAGTTATACTTGAATTTCTACATTTTTGTGTTTTATCTTGTGACCACAGTGAGTATTAATGAAAGGCAATAACTCGCTTTAATATGTAGAGATAATTTTTAAGGTTAAGTAGTTAGTTATAGATAATTAAATTAGGTAATTAAATAACCTTAGTCATTATAGATTTACATGGCCACTATTAAATTTTATTTTTTAAGAATATTTGTTAAAAAAAAGCATTATTAAAATTCAAAATCTAATAAAATTTCGCAGCTTAAAATACACGTAATTTATGACATTGATTCTTAAACAATATTAGGATAATTACACATTAAAAGCTACAAAACATTTATGTTTTGTAACAACAACACTCAACAAAATATTTATCCATCATTTTAATTTGAAGCCTATAAGGTTTTTCTCCCACCTTCTTGGCGAACCTTTGTAGTGTAGTGGTTTGCACACTGGGCCGGTATTCCAGAGGTCCGCTGTTCGATTCTCGGCGAAGGCATTTTTAATAATTTATCTTTCCTGCTTTCAAAAATACCTAATGTCTCTACACACCTTTGCAAACATTTTGACTAGTTTATATCGATTTCCTTCTCTTTAAGCATCTTTTCTAACAATTACAGATTTGTCTCAATATGCAAACCAATGCTCTTGCTAGTTTCTGTGTCCTTTATCTTCTAACTTGTGACTTGTGACTTCTAACTTGTGAAGCATATTATCGCTATGTCTGAAATTAACTACAATATCAGCAGGTTAAATAACAGAACAATCATTCAAAACTAATATGTGGATTAGGTTTCAAAGATTATAAATTTAATTTTAATTTAATCTGACTCAATACCTATATCATATGAGGAATAGAAATGGGAAACATAGTAGGCTGAAATCAATAAACAACTGCATAATTTACATAATAATAAAACTGCACATATCTTTGAAAAATAATTTTCTTTATGTATTCAGTTATTCCTTTCAGTTCCTTTTCAAAACTTTTCCTTTTCATTTTAGAAATTTTAGATTTAATTAGATTTCTGTTATTCAAAAAACACTAAATGCTTAAATGTATAAAAAAGCGGCTAATTTATATTTTTTTAGTAATTGACATTCAGAATAAATATAAATTATAATAAAAGGCGGTTACAGAGCTGATGTCAGAATTCTAGAATGTAGTGACAGACCGACAAAAGCTAAAATGTCAAACTTTTAATTTAGAGCACATTGAAAGTAGGATTTAGGATCCAGAAAGATTGCATCAGGTAGAAAATGCCTAGTATTTACTTGTGTTAATGCATTAAGAAATTAGAGAAACTCTTAAAATTGTAAGTTTCAATTTCTTTATTATAAAAAACCTTTCTATAATGCCTGCCCATGTATAAGATTAGAACATTTTTGATATTTTTAATGCTTGTGTAGTGAGCAAATCAAGGTAATTTAAAAGTAGAGAATAAGGGAGATCAACATGTTAAGATTCTAGTTCAGAATAAATATTATTTCATTGTTCTTCCGACGTTCCTCCAAAAAGAAGAAATTCATTGAAAACTTCTGTAAAATACTCCATTACTGTGTATAGGTGTTGACTATGGAGACATTTTTCATTTTGTCACTATTTCTCGAATCTTCTAGAAATCGTGGGTCTATAAATCTTGCCTCTTCTAATCTAATTTTCTAAATCTTTCTAACTTTCAAGCTGCAATGTCTAAATCCAAAAGAAAAATTATCCCTACCATTCCGTAAAAAAAGAAGAAAAATTTTGAAAAAACAAAGGAGGAAAATATAAAATTAATTTTATATTGAAAACTGATTCCATTTTGATAATTTTGAATATCTGAGACAATTACTGGGAAAATTCTTACTATAAAAAATTAAACAAATTTTTAATTAATTACATAGCATTTTGCTTTTGCTAAGAGCTGTTTCGTAAATTGTGGCTTTATCATTATACCTTGTTTGTTTTTCAGATTCAAATGAAACTTTATAATATGACAGCAAAAATTAAATGTTTTTTTGAATGTTCTTTTTTAAATATAATTTCATATATTACCCGCTATTTCAATGAAATTAATCAATGTTACGATGTTTCAAAAGAAGGCGAAAAAATTCTCAGCTAGAATTGAAAATGTCTAGAGAACTAATCTTAAAAATCGCCAAAATGGAAAAAGTCCCAAATTAGAACCTTGATAAAAGAATTCACATCCTCAAGCGAAAAGTTTTTAAAAGCTCTTTAATTAAAAAATGAATTTTGAAATGTTTATGTTCACTTCTTAGAGACGCGAGTAACCCATCAGTTATATTAGAAATAAAACAAATTAACTCATAAACCCATTCAAAAGATTTACCATATATACGGCCGTGAATCGCCAAAAATTTCCTTCAAAATGCTAATTTACAAAAGGGCCATCGTAAAAAACACACAGAAATTTCAGATGATTAAAATTAAGGACCTTCTGCTGACTTTGGCCAAAATTAAGGACTTTTAAGGACCAAAAATAGATTCCAAAAAAATTTAAGGACTTTTAAAGACTCTTAAATACCGTACGAACCCTGATATACATACATTTATGATTTTTCCTTATTTTATGCAGCTGTTATAATTGTTTGAATTTTCCCTTCTTTTTAGCAATCTTTCCATGATAATAATGAATATCAACAACGTGTTCAACCACACTTATTGGCAAAAAAGCTGACCCCTTTTCACTGCTAAATGCAAGAGGTGACAGGTGCATTTCATAATTTGCAAATAAGAATTTTCTTTTTTTCAATCTTCAAGCCTAAAATTTCTGGTATGACACTAAGTCTCAAGCAATTACCCTTAAAAATTGCCCTTTCTTTTAAAGTTTCAATAATTAGCTCTGCTATTATTAATACCAAAGAATGTCTATGTTCTATACATATTCTTTGATTAAAGCCTCTCAAATCTGTTTTAAAGTGAGGACATAAACTACACTCAATTTCTGAAGACTTTGAATTTAAAAAAAAAGAAACAACAATTGGATACAGTTTTCCATCGCTATTATTGCTTCTATCTGTACAGAGGTAAAATGGAACTGTTTTAATGCAATCAATAACCACAGATTTATTTTTCATACCAATTTCTTAAACCCATTTCTTCTACAATTGCAGCTGTTTCTGTCCTTGCACATGAGTATTTCTTAGAAAATTTACTGCCGGGAATCATGCTACGAAAAAAGCTGCAGCATGATCCGATGCTTTCAGTGGCAGGTTGTGCTGTGGTAAAAAGGCAAAAAACAGGAGTTATACGTTAATAACTTTTCAGTCCTTTGTTTCCCCAGAAAACAATTTCCCCCCCAATACAACTCATACTTGTGTACGCACATGTTTAAGAACATCAGTTCTTCCACCGTGCGAAATTGAAAAACAACACACATTGCAATATTACGTTTCTTTGATGAAATAGTAGCAGGAAAGTCATCCGTGTACGATTTTTGCAAAGTACATGAATATTTTACACTTTTTGTAGACGTAACTAAAAGACAAAAGATCGCAGTTTCTTAACCTGCTTCTGGGAAGCACGTGAAACTTTCGCTGCTCAATGGTGAGACAAATGAATATCCCAGATGATCCGTTGCAGTGCTTGATTCTCATTAAAGAACTAGAACACGGCATTTTCGCATGCATGTTTCGGATTCTCATACACAAAGCAGAAACGTGTCATATCTCAGTGATAAAACAGCTTCCTGTTTTTTTTTTTTTTTTTTTTTAATGCATCTAAAGAAAAACAAGTGCTTTCAGATGCTTAAAATCACGTTTTTGGAGGCAAATAACAAAGTATTAGGCCAAACTACATAAAAATCATGAGAAATTTTAAGAATAAGAGAAAGTTGGGAGAAATATATTAAAAATCAGGTTGGTGGTAATATGGTCAGAAATCAGGAGAGTTGGCAACTCTGCATTATTATAGTGCTATTCACATTATTACATGCTACTCATTATATATAGGCATTTGCTTCTAAAAGTGTACCTAATGATACTTACATACATTGTTTAAGACAAATTTTGCAGATTAAGATCCCAAGGAAAATTTTAAGTTATAGAAATGCTGCCTTTATTTCCTCAAAATTTAAGCATTTCTTGAAAAACCATAAGGTTATACAATTATTAACTGTGCCAATTAAAAAAGCAAAAATCTGTTAATATAATTTATGACAGCACACAATAAAATGCAATATGAATAATGAACATGATTTAAAAAACACATTATTCCATAATAGTAATTGCTTAATGAATCAAATACTTCCTAAAATTAATATAAATCATAAGTGAAATAATAATTAAAAAATAAAATTATTAAATTGTTATTTCAAAATTGAGAGAAAAGACATGCATGCAAAATATGGAATAAAAAATCTTTGAGAATTTAATATTGAACACCAGTAAATTATAAAGAAATGAACTTCTAACTAGATTTCCATGAATCTTTTAAGCATCTGAAATATTTATATATCCAGAAAAGTTTGCTTGTATTATTTAAAAAAGACAGAGAGAGACTTAAATCTGAAAACATTACAGTTTTCAACTAGATAATGTTTTTGAATATAAGCCTGTTCTTATAAAATGTCTAATTAATATAACATGACATCTAATTAATAACAGGAAACAAAAACATTAAACACTATCAAAAAATTAGCTGGAACTCCATACATAATTTAATTATAAAAAACTCAAATTTTATATCTATTTCAGATGATTTAAAAAAATATTTAAAAATTATTGCTCTAAAATATTTTATATATATACTTACTGATGCATTAAAATTAGACATCAAAGACAAGAAACTTGTGTGTTGAGGAGTTAGTTGAGAAGCTAAGACTCTAAAATTATAGACATTTGTTAAATACAAACATTATCAATAAAATTATATAATTCAAATACACTCATCAGAAAAGGTTTTGTATTACTCAGATGTAGAAGACAATGATGCACACCAATTAAAACTTAATGAAGACCCATAATAAAGAACTGAACTACTAATCTACATATTAGTAGCAATTCTCTGCACAACAGTACATATTTAAATTTAGTTTAAAACATCAGAAAGCTTATGTTAGCATTAGCTGATAAACAACATAGCTTGATTTTATAATGGTAAATATACAGACACACGGAATTATTTCATTTTTTCTATGATAAATGCAATTTCATCTTCTGGTTGGATCAATTAAATTGCATCAGTAAAGCCTTTACCACTGTGCATAAATGACTGGATGAAGACATGGTGATATCTTACAGGCATGAAACTAACCTCTGAGAAATGGAAATATGATTACCTAGTCCCATGGAAGTCATTCCCAAACAAAAATATACCCAGATAACATTACTTTCGGCTTGATGGCCCATATAAATCTAAAGAAGCATACATTGGAAATAAAAAATTATTTGAGAATACTGAAACTATTCTGATAACTCAGACCATTAAAACTGACTTCATGAACACAGACTGGAACTTATAAGGACCATGGCATGTGTTTGAGACTGTAATCTATGCTGTGGAGATTTTAATAAATCAGCACTTGAACCCACAATGACTTTGGTGTAAAACCATTATGGAATGAAATCTCATAAACAGGGTTTGTACACATTTCTGCACATGGAAATTAAGTACTTTTAAGGACTTTTAAGGACCATTAATGAAAAAAATTAAGGACCTATGAGCAAATGCTAACTGATTAAATTCAATTAAAATATTATCTATGATTGAATTTTTACTTTGTAATACATCCTAAAAATAAATAGATCCATTATGACTAACATGAATTAATTACATATAATTAAAAAGATGAGAAAAATATACTTTAATTAATTTATAAAGTAGCATTAAATATTTTACACTTATAATATTTGGACATTTGAAAGAAGATAAGTGGCATTTACGTTTTTACTAACATTTAGCATTATGTTGATTTTTTTTTTTTTTTTTTTTTATGTCTCATTTGTCAATACTTGGTCATTCTAGAGAGGTTTAGTAATAGCAGGTAGATTTTATGTCAAACGGCATAGGTTAAAATGAGAAGATCTAATCAGCATGATTCATACACAGACAATGTTTCACCGCTGCTGCTTGTTTGGAAAAGACCTGCTCATTTAACAAACCTGAAAGGCCTGATCAGGCATTTGGCAGTATTGAAGTTAGTCAGGCTCTGTTGATGCAGTTTAGTGTCGTAGGTTCGTGTAAGTTTTCAGAGGTTGTAACCCATTATATACCATAAGGTTCCAATAATCCATTAAGCACCAGAAGGGATAAGTTATTTTGTATTATTTTAAGTCTCACTAGATGCAAGATAAGTTTTACTTGAATTTTTACATTTGTATTCTATCTTGTGACCACGGAGATTAATGAAAGGCAATAACTCGCTTAATATGTAGAAGATAATTTTAAGGGTAAGCAGTTAGTTAAAAATTAGGGTAGTTTGTAACCTTAGCCATTATGGATTTACATGGCTGCTATTAAATTTTTTTTTTGACAAGTTTTGTTAAAAAAGCCCTATTAAAATCAAAATCTAATGAAATTTCACAGTTTAAAATACATGAAATTTATGGCATTGATTCTTAAACAATATTAGGATAATTACACATTAAGAGCTACAAAACATTACAAAACATTTATGTTTTGTAACAACAACACTCAACAAAATATTTATCCATCATTTTAATTTGAAGCCTTCCCAAACATTTTGACTAGTTTATATCGATTTCTTTGTCGTTAAGCATTTTTTCTAACAATTAGGTTATCTCCTAACTTGTCAACCTCTCCATAATGTACCTATGAGGGTTTACTTTATCTGGTAAAAGTTAAATAGTCCAAAACCTCTGATAGACATGAAACAAATTATCGCTATGTCTAAAAGTAACTACAAAGTCACATAAAGGTTTACATAAACCTCTTATTTAAAAAGAACTTAGAACATAAGGCATGTTCTGATGCTTCAATTACAGCTTGTGGTGATGTAATTAAACAAGAAACAAGAAGAGTCAAACTAAAAATGTCGACTAGTGGTCAAAGACTATACAATTTAATTTTAATTTAATCTGACTCAGTAACTCTATCATATGAGGAAATAGACATGGAAATTAGAGTAAATGCTGAAATCATAAACAATTGGGTTTATTTACATAATATATATCTTTGAAGAATAATTTTCTTTATGTATTCAGTTCTTTCTTCAACACGTTCCTTTTCATTTAGAATTTTGGATTTAATAAGGATTTCGGTTATTCTAAAAAAACACTAATCATTTAGAATGATAGAAAAATGCAGCTAATCTTATTCTTTAGTAATATGAACATTTATAAGAAATATGAAATATATATGTAAAGGCCGGTTACAGATCTGATGTGGAAGAATTTTTAGAATTTAGTGACACACCGAACAACAAAATATAGGAATGGCAAAACTTTTAGAATTTAGAGCAGGCATTGGAAGCAAAATTTAGAAAGGCACTAGGTAGCAGAACTTAGGACCCACAGAGATTGCATCAGGTGGGAAAATGCTTAGTGCCAACTATGTGTATGATGCATTAAGACAGATTATGATTAAATTAGATGAATCTTTTAATTTGTAAGTTTTCAATTTCTTTATTAATAAAAAAATTCTTTTATAATGCCTGACCATGTGATAAGATTAGAAGCATTTTTGATATTTTCCATACTTTGTGTAGTGAAAAGTAGAGAAATAAAGGAAGATAACATGTTAAAAGATTCTAGTATCAGAAGTAAAACATTCAATGTTATGTTTTTCATTGTTCTTCGATTTCTCCAAAAGTTAGAATTCATTGCAAACTTTCTGTAAATACATCCATTACATGTTGATACCAGGAGAATTTTTCATTTTGTCGAATCTCTAAAACGCGGGCCTATAAACTTGCCTTCAAATCCTTCTAAACCTTCCAAGCTGCAATGTCTAAAATCCTAAAGAAAAATTATCCCTACCAATTCTGTAACAGCAAAAAAACAAAAATATTTTTTTGGGAAAAAAAAAAAAAAAAAAAAAATGGGGGAAGGGGGAAAAATGTAAAATTAATTTTATAGAGAAAACTGATGCATATTCTGAGACAATTACACGAGAAAAACTCTTATGAAAAAATAAAAAGAAGACATTTTTAATTATTTACATAGCTAATTTTGCTTTTACTAAGAGCTGTTTTGTAAACTGTGCTTTAGAGCATTATACCTTGTTTACTTTTCAAATTTAAAATATTGTATAATAGTTGCCCAAATGAAAATTTTATATGACAGCAAAATAAAAATGTTTTATTTTAATGTTTTTTTTGAAATAATTTTCAATATATTACCATTATTTTAATGAATTTATCAATTTACGTGTTTTAAAAAAATCGTGAAAATTCTCATATCTCAGATAATTTCTATAGAAACTATCTTAAAATCGCCAAAATGTGATAAGTCCCAAATTTAGAACCGTTTCATAAAACAATTCAATTCCCAAAAGCGAAAAGTTGTTTAAGAGCTCTTTATTAGAAAAAATGAATTTTGAAATGCTTATGTTTCACTTCTTGCTTAGAAACGGAGTATCCATCATTTAGAAATAGAAACAAATAATCCATGAACCCTTCAAAAGATAACCTATATGTCAGTGAATCTCCAAAATATTCCTCCAAAATCTAATTACATCAAAATGGCAGTCGTAAAAACAGACAGAATTTCAAAAATCTTCTGCTGAGTTTGGCCAAAATTAAGGACTTTTAAGGACCACAAATCGATTCAAAAAAATCTAAGGACTTTTAAGGACTCTTAAGGACCATACAAACCCTGATAAAGCATGGGCAATAAATGATTAGTAAAATGTTTTATTCTAATGTAAAAACATTTCTTCCTGAGGCATGATCATCGTCAACATGTTAAAGTACAGTCAATGTTAATCAAATGCAGGAATATTCAGTCTTAGCCACAGAGGAAAGAATAAAAGATGATGCCTTTTCCTTCCATGGCTGTAGCAGTACTTTTGAACTTTTGATAGTTGAAGAGGTTGTGGTACTTTTCTTTACATCCAGTGCTCATTACTTAGATGGCTTCTTCGGAATTTAAAAATTGGACAATATACAGATATAAAAACCTTTCTATCTACATGTGAAATAGATGAATAATTATTTTATATGACTGTTAACCTTTAACTGAAAAATGCAGGAGCACACTGGAAGAAAGTTGAACAAAAAATGAATACAAGAAAACCAAAAATGAAACATAATGGAGTGAAAAATGATATTACTAATGCAAACTGACTTTTGTTATAGGAATCATTTGCTAAATTTAAGCAATTTTCAAAGATAATGAAGGGAAAAAAGCACAAAATGCATTCACATAATTGAATAAATTTTAAAACCGTTTTTGAAATATACACATGTAATGAAAATAGGAAAATGAAATGGAAATTACTGAACACTAACTAAATGACCAGGTGGAAGCATTTTAAAAAGAATTCAAACCTGCTCCACAGCAAGGGGCAATTTAAAGCTACCAAATAAACCAAGTATAGTAGCACAAATATGATCCTTATTTATTCATTCTAAATTTTACTTTCATCATTTTTTTAAATCATTGGAATTTTTAATAAATGAATACTTGTCAGTCTTACCAGTGAACAAAGCACCAAAGAAAAAAATGTCACCAGATTTTGGCACCATACACACAAATAAATAAATAAGTGCAAAAGAATTTAGTTCAATTTATTTTTAAAAATACAAATTCTTATTTAAAAAAACAGTTATAATTTATATTTGAGATAGTCATAATTAGAAATAGCAGCTTACTGATGTCAGGAATGTGATTTCTGAAGCAAAGCCTTTTTTTTTTTTTTTTT